TTTTCCAATAGCTTTGCTCAGGAGGAGTCCTCGAAATTATCCTACTGCTTCCAACAGACAGTCACCATTACAAATGAGTAAAAGTCGACTTAACGAACGACATGAATCAAGGACTGATTCGATGGTAATTCTGGAAGATTTCGGGGATCAGCTAAACCGTATCTACACTCCCCTCCTCATCCTCCTGTTAGCTGCAGCTGCAATGACCAACGTCTATTTCCTGCCCCAAATCTCCTGCAACATTCCCACCTTACCTGCTGATGACTTTCGAGGTTTCGCGGAGTCGGTCTGCTGGAGTCGTGGTGCCATCGGTGTGGATAAGGATGAAGAAATGCCGGGTGACGAGGTGGAATGGGAGAAACTGCAGGGAAGGCGTGCTATCTGTGAGTTTGGCCAGAAGCTGTGCCTCCAAATGCAGCAACAGTCGTGATGCGTTAATTTTTCCTTGTTTCAGCATTCCATCAATGGGTACCATTCTGTCTGTCAATTCAAGCAATTCTCTTCTATCTGCCACACTTGATTTGGAAGGTCCTATGCACTAGTTCTTTCGGTGACAACCTCAACTATCTTGTCACCCGCGCAAAAGCAGCTGGACGTTGTGAGGAGCAAGCGGTGAGAGCGAAATTCGTTCGAGCCTGTGCCGACCATCTGTATCTCCTCTCTCGACAACACTTCAGTACCAGCACGAGCATCTGGTCACGTGTTCAAGACAGTCTCTGCTCTCGTCAGCCTTGCAGAAGTTGCTGTTTTGTGAAGAGGCGAATGGGTAATCATTCGGTAATCTACTACCTGCTCATGAAGGCCCTCTACATCACAAACTGCATTGGGCAGATGTTTGCAATTGTGTGTTTTCTGGGACCCAACAACACCTACAGAAGTAGTCTTGGAGGGTTTACTGAACGTCTACTCGGTTTCGCAGCCAGCTATGGTGAATGGGGTGGAAGCCAATTCCTGCCGCACCAAGCCCTCTGTCCTGTTCGTGTTCCACATCTGGGTGTTCGATCACAGACCTACACTGCGATCTGTGCACTCACTATGAATGTGTTGAACGAGAAGATATATCTCTTCTTGTGGATGTGGATCCTGGCTGTCCTAGCGGTGACCGCAATCACGACAGTTGCATGGATGTGGCGTCTGCTAGTGCGAGCTCATAGCAACTCCTATTTGCGAGCATTTCTATACACCTCCCTTCTGGCCCCGCCCCCGTTTCGAAGCTCAGATACGATGGAGGTGGTGGAAGTGGGAGGAGGTGTCTACCAGACAGCTAGTTTGGACGGTGCGTTGGTGGAACGATTCCTGACTGAAGTGGTTGGCAATGATGGCAACCTGATGATACGGATGTTGCGATGCAATGCAGGAGATATCGTGACTGGAGAAATATTTGTCACTTGGTGGTGGATGTTCAAGGCGATGGAAAGAAGTGTAGATGAGGATGGGTTCTTAGGAACACACTGCGACAACAACTGTGACATTTGTTGTAATGCAGGAGCTCATTCATGTAAATAGTATAGTTAAACGTACAATGAGTTACATTTGAACGGATGTTTTCACTGTAAGGATAAAAACAAAGTAATAATGCATATGCTTTCACTTTTTCTTGTAAGCCTGGATTCTTTATAGGTCCAAACTGGGTTAACCAATGAAGTACCAAGACTTCTGTGCAAGATGACATCATTTGCCGTTGGGTATTGGTGACCTGGGCAGCACGACGTGCGGAAAGTGAAAGCTGGGTTTCTAGTGAAAGACGCCGGAGACACCCGGCTGCTCCTGTCTCGCCTATAGATCCCATTTGTTTGGGCTTGTCGTAAAATGATTGTCAGCACACATTTGGTACATCTGCTTGTTATCGTCACCCAGTAAGGATGGAATGAACTGGAACAGGTCTCTTTAGAAAGTGGATGGTAGGCCTTAACTGATGGCATAGATAGCCGTAGCCGAATAGCTAGAGATCTTCCGCCAGTGCCATTAGGACCTACAGACATTTCATTGAGAGGAATGGGCCAAAAAACTGGACAGCATGACAGGGCGTGTAGTGTGCTTAAGCCTCAGGGACTCCGTCTGAATGCAGATTTGATTTGGATGTAGATGTAAATGAACTCACCAGTGAAGGGAAAAGGAAGCCGTGATGAATGTTTATTTATCTGTGGAGTCTACCTTCCATGATATTGATGTGGCGCCTCTCTTACTATATACTAGTGTCCACGTTCTCCTTTGCTACTCGACAATTCTAAGTGGGCTGTTCTATGGCTTGCGGAGTGTCTCAAGGCTGGCTCAAGGGAACGCGCTGAGTATGCATCGGTTTCAGAAGCAAATCAGTCACTACAGTCTCGATGTCATCAATTTATTTCCTCAATGCATCCTAAAACTTTACACATTTGCATACAACTAATTTGCTATTAATAAACGTTTTGGCACAAATTGTTATGATCACAAATATCCAAAAATGCCCCATTTACCTGACGCTACTAGAAAATATGTCGACTCTAACATAATTATTGCTTACGGGTGCACATTAATCGTGAAAACAAGTTCTTATTTGCTGTTTATTTTTTGATCTACTTGTAAACAAATGGATGATTTGGGATTTTTCTGTATGTGTGAAAACATGGGCTGCTGCTTTACTTGTTATTTCACACCTTATTACATGGCTGGAAAACCACGCATCATTGTTTCTTTCCTTTTTAACGTCGCGTTTAGTAATTACTTCTCCCTTCCAAATAAATCCCTAATTCTAAAGAGCAAAATGAATGGTTCTACTTTGAGGGAATATGATGAAAAATTGTGCCATACGGTGGTTGTCATGTCAGTACTCCTCTCTGGTAGTCTGAATGACTTCACAGTTTAGCAGTCCATGTGTTGTCACTTTGCAGTAAAAAGTGGCGTGAAAAGGTAAAAGCATTTTTAGGTTGTATGAAGGACAGGTTAAGGTCTGCTTTTTAGGAAAATGAACTAGGATGGTCTAAAAATTGTGTGCTGGTCTGTCGGATGAAATGTGCTCCAGACCTCCAAACGGCTACAAATCTTTCAACGAAAAAATGAAAATGTACTTAGGAATAGAAAACTAGGTGAAATTGGCAGACTTTAAATTATTTATTCGCACATTGAAACGTTACTTCTGTCCCTTAACATGTGTCTGTTTGTGTGATTGTTCAACGACGATCTTTTCTTGAGTATCTCATATTTCTCACTTTACAAGCTCACACTTCAGTTGACTGTTTCAATGGGCACAAATAATTTTAGCTTCATTTGCGTTAGTTCTGAGGCAGTTTTAATCATGATCAAACAATTGAATTTCTTATTTTTAACCCTAAAGGCACTCTTTTACGTTGGATACAACGTGTTTTAAGCGTGATATTTGTCTTTTAAGATCCGTCGTTTTGGTCAACTTAAAAGCAATGTTTTCGGTTGTGACAGAATATGATTTTCGTAGTGGGTTCTTCGCAGGCAGATGTAAAATCAACGAACATATTATGCGTTATTTGGCAGGGCGAGAGTGTCACTGCCCTATCAACTAGCACACAATGCTCCTGAAACAGTACGCTGATAGATGGCAGGAGAATTCCGCCTATAACAACTCACGTGTCCGACTGCTTGCATTTCCAATGTGGCAAATTCAACTGCTGCTCATTAAATTAGAGAACTATGAAGGAATTCTGCACCAGACAAACTTAATTGGTCTATTTGTAGCACACAATTTGGTTAAATCAACTGAAAGAGGGCAAATGTCAGTGATGTTTAACGTGAAGACTCAGCAAAATTTCACCCATATTAGAACAGATCATTTAAAACCATCACGGTTTGTTCCACTACTCTGCTGGGATTGCTGACAACATTTAAAAATACTCCTGTCTCAATTTTCTAGAAGCTTTCATTTTCGTGCAGAAGATTCATTCCAGAACGTCATGCTGTCATCCGGTCTCCTGATCGCTTGCTATCGAGACCGTATGTGCTTTAGACGTACTAGTACTAAACACGAGGCCAAAGTCTATAAAGTATAGCAGCTGTGTTTGGCTGAATCCACCAGGTGTCCCCTGCATTCCTTACTAGTCAGCTTGTTTATCATGTATGCACACGCCGCATCTCTGCGCTTACTCATAGTCGTCAGTGAATTGAGAAAACTGTATCGCAGTGGTCTCATCTAATGATAGCTTTGGTCAGACGCCTGACAGGATTTAAGGTCATGCTCAAACATCAGTCTGTACCAGGTACCCAACACGGAGAGGTCAATTTAATAGTCTCACTGAACGCCGGAACTACAGCTTAAAAAAGTCCTAATGCGATTTAAGGTGATCTGAAGACTTGTCTACCCAAAATTGCCCTGCAACGTCTTTGACAGCCGCCAATCGTAGGTTTTCGTGGATATGAGGGTTTCAGAGTTCTTTCTGTAATCTTTTGCGATCGCTTTGATACACCTAACCCTCTAGAGCCGTCACATCATATTGAATACACACACCTAGTGGAATTATTCTTGGCCTCTAGCACCCGCACACACACTTCCGGTCCAGAATAGGACAGAACGCGCTTTGATACTGTAAGTTGATCAACTAAGTTGGCACGATTTCTGATAGGCTAAATTGGTTGCAGAAAGTTACGCAAAATGTCTCAATTTTACCGAAGATATTGCCATATCGACGAATCAGTACAACCTTTAAAAAACTTTTGGTTTCTGGGAGCAAAAAATCTCTCTTCAACCTTCCCACCTGTCTGTTCTATTTAGTTTGTGATTATATAATTGCCCAATGATTACTCCAGGAGCCAAACGATGTGATCGCAGAGGAGGGGAAGGTAAAGGCAGCACCTTTTTTCGTTTCTACGTGCAAATCTTCTTATGAGGCCAGTTTGCAGTCCAGGCTGTTCCCTGCCAACGAATAAGCCTTTCCACTTCCACCCATTCGAAGTGTGCTGCATTGTGAAGGCTGATCTCAACTGCAAGTGAATAAGGACCGGATCGGAAACAATTGCGCCTCCTGTGCCTTATACAAAAAGTAGGCGCAGCCGAAATTTTGTATTCTTTCATGCACACAACGAGGGCTTGGATTCAGCATTGGTCAGCTGACAGTCCAAAATCTGAGTCACGTCACATGGTTGTTCAAAGCACAAAGTGGAAGCCTTTTGAACTCATTGTCTTTCATTTGCTGTCGCTGTCTGCAAATGGAACCCATCGGCTTGGTAACTTCCAAGATCTTTTTAGCCTATTTTAAGCAAAAGATGTTTCTGAGCCTTCTTCACGTCTGAGCGCGTCACGGCAATAACCACCATGTTTGAATCATTTCTGGGCTGTGGACTCTGCTCTTGCATTCTCTCCTACTGCAACACAGCAGATGTTACAAGAAGTTCCTCCAGTTCTGGAACCGGATTTAACTCGGTTTGAAGGGTGAAGTACAATAAACAGTACCGTTGGATGATAGGTTGGCGCATTTCTGTGCCCTATGATGCACACGTGTTAAAGGTCGCACAAAACGCACTTCTGCGAATCATACCGAAAATCTCGTGAACCTTCTTGTCCGCCTGGTGTTTGGACGCTGTCCAGTAGATACTTTTGCGAAGGTGACAACCTCTACCTTAAAACTGCAGGAACAGACGCTTGGCCAACACCGAGTTCATCTCATGTCTGCAACCCCTTGGCCACCATTTCAACAGGTAATTAAGTCATTGTCAACTTTATATAATCACTAGTAAATAGTGGGTCTCCTCTCTTGTTCGCTGTTCCATTAAAATCTGAAAACCAAGTCGATGCCTAACAACCTAACACAGGCCTGTTTTATGACCTATAGAATGATAAAACCTCCACTAGGTGACCAGTCTCGAAGCCAAATAGGAAGATAACCTGCTTTTTCTAGGACGCTTAAGGTGATGGCTAATCTCTGGACATTGTAGAGAGAAGCGTTTCCTACCACACCATCCTGACTGGATGATGACACCAGGTAGAAGTAAAAGCATACTGACAATCACTATAATGTCAGGGTCAATCAAATGGAGCAAATACATCAGGCCGGAACAGCCGGCTGTCACCGGAGTCCCTCACTAGCCAGCCAGCTAGCTATTACTTTCCGCACGTCGTGCTCTCAAGGTGACCCATTCTCAATGACAAATGGAGCCATCTTGCATCGTAGTCTCGACAATTCATTAATTAACCTGGTCAGGAGCTACATAAATGAGTAGGAGTTCATAAATGTCTTTATTTTCTTAAGGTTGCAGTGAAACCATGCGTTCAAATGTAACTCATTGTACGTCTAACAATTCTGTTCACCAGGTTGGGTTCCTGCATTTCAACATATGTTCTAGGCGGAGTCGCAGCATATCCCGACAA